CATTTGCCAATCATCATTTCAATTAAGTGTGGCCCTCACTCTGCAGAACCATCTCGGGTTCCATTTGATCTTACAAGGAACATCGACTGGCAGAAATATGCAACGGCGGTGACAATCGGTGTCGAATCAATAGATGCGCTTCCACCATTGGAAGAATATCGATTCCTAGCCGATTTGATTTACAAAAGCTCACTGGAAGCACAAAAAAGAAAAGTTCCAAGTGCACCCTTTAAGAGGAGACCAGCCACACCTGGTTGGGACGAAGAATGCACAAAATTGTATGTAGAAAAATCTGATGCTTTCAAAGCTTTTCGAAGACACAAAACCTCCACTTACTTCGAGGAATATTCAAAGCTTGAGACAAAGCTGAAACAATTAATCAAAGCAAAAAAACGCGGTTATTGGCGCAATTTCGTCGAGGGACTCTCACGAGAAACCTCAATGAACACCTTGTGGAGGGTGGCTCGCAACATGCGTAACCGCTCATCTTTCAATGAGAGTGAAGAATACTCCAACCGATGGATATTCGATTTCGCTAAAAAGGTCTGTCCGGACTCAGTTCCAGCACAAAATATTCTTCGAGAAGCGTCTCCTAGCGGCGGCTCTCTGGATAGACCATTCTCAATGCTGGATTTCTCTATGGCTCTTCTTTCATCGAACAACTCCTCACCGGGAAGCGATATGATTAAATTCAATCTTCTGAAAAATCTCCCAGATATCGCTAAAAGACGCTTGCTAGATTTATTCAATTCCTTGCTAGAAAACAACATTGTACCGCCTGAATGGAGACAGGTCAAAGTAATAGCCATTAAAAAACCTGGCAAATCAGCGTCTGACCATAACTCATACCGTCCGATTGCTATGCTTTCGTGCATTAGGAAATTGTTGGAGAAAATGATCCTTCGGAGACTCGATCACTGGGTCGAATCAAATAACTTGCTATCAAATACACAGTTTGGGTTCCGCAAGAGCAAAGGAACAAACGATTGTCTAGCGCTGCTTTCCACAGATATTCAACTGGCCTTTGCGCACAAGGAGCAATTGGCTTCAGTATTCTTGGACATTAAGGGGGCTTTTGATTCAGTTTCCATTGAAATTCTGTCAGACAATCTGCACAGATGTGGACTTTCTGGAATTTTAAATAATTTCTTGTACAATTTGTTGTCAGAAAAGCAAATGAACTTTTCTCTTGGAAAACTGACAACTTCCAGAATTAGTTACATGGGCCTGCCCCAAGGCTCATGTCTCAGCCCTCTTCTTTATAACTTTTATGTCAAAGATATCGACAACTGTTTGGCAGAACAATGCACGCTAAGACAACTTGCAGATGACGGTGTGGTTTCCGTAAGAGGTCCACATGCCGTGGACTTGCAAGGACCATTGCAAAATTCCTTAGATAACTTGTCTTCTTGGGCTATGAATCTAGGGATCGAATTCTCGCCGCAGAAAACTGAACTGGTAGTGTTTACTCGAAAGCGGTACCCAGCCCAAATGCAGCTTAATCTTTTGGGCAGAAACATTACCCAATCATTGTCTTTCAAGTACCTTGGGGTCTGGTTTGATTCAAAGTGCACTTGGAATACCCATATTACGTATTTGAAGCAAAAATGTCAGCAGAGGATCAACTTTCTCCGTTCAATTTGCGGCACATGGTGGGGTGCTCATCCGGGAGACCTCATAACGCTTTATAAAACAACTATTCTCTCTGTTCTAGAGTACGGCTCTTTCTGATTTCTCTCGGCAAGAAAAAGTCACCTAATAAAATTGGAACGAATTCAATATCGTTGTCTGCGTATTGCCCTTGGCTGTATGCACTCAACGCATAACATAAGTCTCGAGGTTCTGGCAGGAGTAACACCCCTCCAGAACCGTTTCTGGGAGCTCTCTCTCAGAATACTAATCAAATGCGGAGTGACGAACACACTTATAATTGCAAATTTTGAAGAAATTCTTGGGCTGAACACACAATCTCGATTTATGAGAATCTACCACCACTACATATCGTCGGATATGTGTCTTCCTTGTTACACTCCAGACCGTGTTCACTTCACCAATCGCAGTTCCTCAATTGAATATGATCTGACCATGAAACAAGCAACTCATGGGATTCCCGATCAACTTCGACCTATTATTATCCCACGTATTTTTACTGAAAAGTACCAACAAGTCAATTGCATGAAAAGATATTTTACAGACGGGTCCCGTCTCAATGGATCCACTGGCTTCGGTGTCTTCAATGAAAACTCTAGCGTCTTCCGCAAACTTCAGGAACCTTGTTCCGTTTTTGTTGCTGAGCTGGCAGCAATCAACTTCGCATTGGGGATGATTTCCAATATGCCCACAGACCATTACTTCATCTTCACGGATAGTCTCAGTTCGATTGAGGCTATTCGGTCGATGAAACAAGGTAGGCACTCATCTTATTTCCTTTCAAAGGTAAGGGAGCAGATGAGTGTACTGGTCGAAAGATCATATATGATTACCTTTGTATGGGTCCCCTCACATTGCTCAATCCCAGGCAATGAGAAGGCGGACTCTCTCGCAAAGGTGGGCGCGCAGGAAGGCGAATTATATGACAGGCAAATTTCACACGATGAATTTTACCATTTAGTGCGTCAGAGTACCCTTTCGAGTTGGCAAACCGATTGGGACACTGGAAATCTTGGACGGTGGTTACATTCAATTATTCCTAATGTTTCTTCGAGAGCGTGGTTTAAAGGCTTGGGCTTAAGTCGTGACTTCATTCGGGTGATGAGTAGACTTATGTCCAACCACTACTCGCTAGATGCTCATCTCAATAGAATAAACCTCGTGGACAGCAACATCTGTAAGTGTGGAAACGGTTACGATGACATCGAACACGCAGTTTGGCAATGTACGGATAATGACGCCGCCAGAGAGCGACTTTTGAATACCCTCGAGGCCCAAGGAAGACAACCCTATGTTCCTATCAGAGACTTGTTGGCAACTCGCGATGTCTGCTATATGCAGTCCCTTTATGTGTTTCTTCAAATGTCTAGTATAAGAATTTAATTCCTTTGTCTTTTGTCTCTCTTTATTAGTTTTTGTTTGTCTTGTCCCCCTGTCTCGATGAGTCTCATCGTCGCCCACTGGTCACCATAGCCGGTCGAACTCCAGACGAAGCTAGAACAGCACTACTATTCATACTGGCGACAACGCTCTGATGAGACAACGAAACCCTACCCCAAGCTCCTCCCCTGATCCTATCCTTCAACAATGTACCCCTCTAACCTCGAGTAAGCCGCGAGTAATCGGCCCAACTCCTACTAGACATAGAATTAAGTGAATTTTGTTACAAACAGTGAACAATGAATTATCGGCTCCGTAAAGTTAACGCGATTGAGCCTTCCAAATAAACGAAATGGATAAAAAAAAAAACCTATCGACTTGATTCCAATCACACTATCCGTTTCTAGCTATAGGTAATCGAATGGCATACTTAAAAAAAATCACAATTTTTGATGTAAATACAGAAATTTTTAAAATATGTCTATATTGACCATAGCATGCTATAATTACAAATGGCATCAAAATCTGATTTTTTTAAAACATTTAAGCATGTGAAAAATCAAAATCTCGTAGGTTTTTTTTACATGTTTTTTTTTTTACACGGTACGTATCCCCCGTGTAAAAAAAAGAGCTGAGTGTACTGACAAGAGGTCATCGCACAATAAGGCGTCGTTTGAGCTAGAACGCCATCGCTGTTGGACATGCTGGATATGGCTCGGGCTGCCATGTCGTATATTGGACTTCAACTGAAATATTGCATGCTTCAAAATCAGTGAGAACACGGAATGATACCCACTACATCGCTGGAACGGTTGTGCTAATTTGCCGGAACATTGAATCAACCAACGAACCTCTATGCGATCAACCAACCCGGAAGCAACATACGAGATATACGAGAATTAAATGGTGGAAAATCATTTCATCGAACGCTGGACTGGCGCAACGCTTTCTTTGTAAGGTAAATTAAGCTTGAATAGTGTATGTCCAGCCGTGGGAGATTTTCTGTATACTAATGCCAATATTTCGAAATATTCTCCGGACCTACGACAAGGAAATCTGTTCTGGCCAATTTTGATTTGGCACTGTGCTACCATTCACCATCATCCAGGAGCAACGGTTTTGAAGCTCTACTTATCGGAAGGAAGTTTGGCACTTGGATATCAAGGAAGGCGCATCTTTTAAACCATCACACTGTCTGGGGCTCATGAGTAATTAAACCACAGTGGTGCACATCAGGCCAGTGAACACCCATCGGCACACTTTCCACGCAGAGAGGAAGCAACACACATTACTGTCAAGGTAAATTTACAGGTCTGACAGGTCTCTGCGAGTGAAACTCGATTCCAGTACTTCCTCGTATTTCACGAACTCGTCAGGTGTACCACAGGGTAGCAATCTTGGCCCGTTGCTGTTTGTGTTGTACATCAACGACGCACTTCTTCTACTTGGAGATGGCTGTAAGCTTGCGTATGCCGATGACCTAAAGCTGTACTTCGGGGTGCGGACTGCTGAGGATTGCATTCGTCTTCAATCGGTATTGGATCTGTTCGTTGATTGGTGTCGTCGGAATAAGCTTACCCTCAGCATTCCTAAATGTATGGTAATGTCGTATTACCGCATCAGGCAGCCGATTGTTTTCGACTATGCCATCAACGGTGTGGTTCTTCAAAGAACCGACCAATTCAGCGATCTTGGTGTTCTACTGGACCATAAGTTGACGTTCAACCTCCACCGCTCTGTTCTGATCCTTTCCTCTTCGATTCACACCATTATTTTGGAATTGTCGTCATCTGAGAGATCGACGTGTGACGTCACGTGGCTGCAGGTTTCCCTTTTGGAATTTTGAAGCGCAAATACTCGTTTCTCCGGGTAATTTTAACTAGTATATGCCTAGCGAAGCTAGGCTCTTTGCAAGATACTACACCGCACCTCTCTCTTTCTGCTAATTGCATTACCGTAACGATAACACCATGCCAACCGGTGGAATTCCAGCCAAGGCGCCGTCGATGAGGGCATTGACGGCAAGGTTGAAGCAGATACAACTATCGTTCAATGACATCTACCGGTTTACCCAAACATTTTCTGAATCCAACAACTTTACCGAGGTGGAGGTACGTATTGGGAAACTGGACGAGCTATGGGAGAGTTACAGTGAAACCATGGTAGAGATCTTTTCCCACGACGACTACAATGCAGAGAAGACGTCACTTGAGAAGGAACGCATCGAGTTCAGCGATCGTTATTATGGGGTCAAGTCCTTTCTAATGGACAAGATCAAGGAGCTCCAGAAACCCCAAGCACTGGAGCAGTCCATACGAGCAGGTGAAGGATCAACATCGGCCACCATTGATCATGTGCGCCTACCACAGATCAAGCTTCATACCTTCAATGGGAACATTGACGAGTGGCTGAGTTTCCGCGACTTGTTCATGTCGCTAATCCACTGGAAGGCGGAACTACCAGAGGTGGAAAAACTTCATTATTTAAAGGGTTGCCTTCAAGGAGAAGCCAAGGCCCTAATTGAACCACTCTCGATCACAGCAGCCAATTACCAGGTGGCATGGGATATGCTGTTAAAACGCTACAATAACAGCAAGCAACTGAGGAAGCGGCAGGTACAAGCTCTATTCAAGTTACCCACACTTTCGAAGGAGTCCGGAGCTGACTTGCACATCCTAGTGGAAGGTTTTGAACGGATTGTGCAGACTCTCGACCAGGTCATCCAACCGGTTGACTATAAGGATCTTCTGCTGGTGAACATCCTCACAGCAAGATTGGACCCGGTCACGCGTAGAGGGTGGGAGGAGGTATCATCAACAAAGGAGCAGGATACTCTGGAAGAGCTATGCGATTTCCTTCGGCGTAGAATCCAGGTTTTGGACAGCTTACCAACGAAATCCATCGACATTAGGGGTGTCGGCCAGTCGCAGCAACAACCGAAGTCGAAACCACAACCCGTGAAGGTCAGCTACAATTCTCAAGCGTCTAGGGGACGCTGCGTTGCCTGTTCTTCGGATCACCTTCTCCATCAGTGCAATGAATTCCAGGGGATGGCAGTATCGGACAGAGATGGTCTCGTAAAATCCAATGGACTCTGTCGGAACTGCTTCAGGACAGGACATAACGCCAAGGACTGTCAATCAAAATACTCCTGTAGGAACTGCAAGGGACGTCACCATACTCTAGTATGCTTCAAGCAGGGGAAGGAAAAGGAAACCAAGGTTGCTGCAGTTGCTGGGGGCAGCAAGTCGTTCACTTTTGCGGACCAACAGAAGTCATCTAGCTCATCCGATACGCAAGTGGCTAACGTGGCAGCCACGGAAACTGCAGTGTCCGCTGCAGCTCACCAAAGACCTACTCAGGTGCTTTTGGCAACGGCAGTTGTGGTTCTCGAGGACGACGTTGGAAATCGTCATCCAGCTCGCGCTCTACTGGACTCGGGATCCGAAAGCAATCTCATTACGGAGCGATTGAGTCAACGGTTACAGGTTGCTCGAAATCGGGTGGATATTTCGGTAGCCGGGATTGGTCAAGCGGCTACAAGGGTTCGGCAAAGGATTCGAGCGGTACTGCGGTCACGAATTTCTGACTTCTCTCGTGAATTGAACTATCTGGTTCTTCCAAAGGTTACGGTAAATCTTCCAACAGCCACCGTCAATACGGATACGTGGACTCTACCAAGTGGGATTCAACTGGCGGATCCTACATTCTTCGAACCGAGCGTAGTGGATCTCGTGCTAGGTATCGAATGCTTTTTCGACTTTTTCGAAACCGGACGGAGAATTTTCCTGGGGGAACATCTTCCAACCCTAAACGAATCCGTGTTTGGATGGATAATTAGTGGTGGCATTTCAGAACCAAATCGCTCTCTGCATATCAGTTGCAACATATCATCACTAGTTGGCCTGGATGAGTTAATTTCCCGCTTCTGGTCCTGCGAGGAGGTTGAGTGAGGCAAGGTCATCTCGCTAGAAGAAAAACAGTGTGAAGATAATTATGTCAACACGGTTCAACGAGGTTCAGATGGTCGGTACACCGTCTCACTGCCGAAGGTTGAAGATGCCATTTCACTGTTGAGCGAGTCTAAGGACATCGCATACCGGCGTCTCCAAGGAACGGAACGCAGACTCGCCAGGGATCCGTCACTACGTAAGCAATACAACGCTTTCATGGAGGAATACGTTAAGCTCGGCCACATGCGGGAGGTGGATGAAACTGAACTGGTGGTAAAACGGTGCTACTTCCACCCCACCCAGTGCTCAAGGAGGCAAGTACCACTACCAAAGTACGGGTGGTCTTTGATGCGTCGTGCAAGACGTCAAGCGGAGTATCTCTCAACGACGTCCTGACGACAGGGGCAGTTCTTCAGGAGGAACTTCGATATATTATTCTTCGCAGTCGGACATGGCAGATCATGATTGTCTCGGACGTAGAGAAGTGTTCCGTCAAATCCTCGTCTTCCTTCTGGAACGTGCCAATGCAATGTATTCTCTGGCGTTTTTCACCTACGGAGGTTATTAGGATCTACGAGCTCAACACGGTTACGTATGGCACAAAATCGGCACCGTTTCTGGCCACCAGAACGCTCAAGCAGCTAGCGATGGACGAAGAGAAGACATTTTCTCTTGCGGCAAGAGCGGTCCTTGAAGATACCTATATGGATGACGTAATCACGAGTGCGAATGACGTGGAAACAGCAAGGGAACTGCAGATCCAATTGAATAAGATGATGTCAGCTGGTGGCTTTCAGCTACGCAAATGGGCTTCAAACGGGAGTTCCGGAGGAAAACTTAGCCATTCGAACTTCGGATGAAATAAATTTGGATCCAGATTCAGCCGTTAAAACCTTGGGGTTGACCTGGATTCCATCTACGGACATTCTCCGGTTTCAGTTCACTATTCCCTCTCTGCACGCGGATGCAATATTAACCAAACGAAACATATTATCAGTGATTGCAACCTTGTTCGATCCTCTTGGGCTTTTGGGAGCCGTAATCACCACGGCCAAGGTTTTTATGCAGCGGTTGTGGACGATACTGGACGATAATAACCATACACTTAGCTGGGACCAGCCCCTACCTCCAACGGTGGGTGAGGCGTGGCGGCAGATCCACGTTCATTGCTTTTCAGATGCTTCGGAGAAAGCATATGGTGCCTGCCTGTATCTCCGCAGCATGAATAAGAACGGTGAGGTGAAGGTTCGACTTCTTTCATCAAAATCAAAGGTTGCACCATTAAAGTACCAGACCATTCCAAGACTGGAGCTCTGTGGAGCGCTTTTGGGAGCGCAACTTTTCAAAACGGTTTGAGAATCGATTAGGATTGATGCGAGCTGCTACTTTTGGACGGATTCCACGTGCGTTGGATTGAGGCTCCCCCAACGACCTGGACCACTTTTGTTGCCAACCGGACAGCTAAAATACAATCTATCACTGAAGGTTATCGGTGGTTCCATGTTCCTGGTACTCAAAATCCAGCAGACCTGATTTCCCGGGGAATTGCACCTCAAGATATCCTTGAAAATAAGTTTTGGAGGCAAGGGCCTACTTGGCTAGAGAGGAACTCAGATGAATGGCCGAGACCCCCGAATATTTCTTCAACAGGTGAAGAGGAAGCAGAGAAACGAAGAACGGTTATGGCAGCAACGGTTTCTACATTCGCTAAATTCAACAACGAGTATATTGGTAGATTTTCGTCTTACACTGATCTCGTTCGTCGCACCTACTGGTTGCGTCTGATGAAGTTGCTTAGAACACCATCCTCGGAAAGGAGCAACTCCGACGAGAGGTTTTCGGCGAGGAGTTGAAGGCGCTTTCCAAGGGAGAGACGGTTTCAAGAAGGTCACCATTACGTTGGTTTAACCCATTTGTTTCCAAGGATCAGTTGCTCAAACTAGGTGGACGGTTGAACCACTCTATGGAATCGGAAGAGGCTAAGCATCCCGTTGTTCTTCCAGCTCGACATCCCTTCCCGAAAAAAAAATGACAGTGAAATTTTCAGCAGAAACAATGCTCTAACATTAATTTTATTGTCAAAAATAAAAATGATTGTTATAATGTTGTACTCTTCCGAAAACGGCAAAACTGCTACCTAGCTGTACAATGAATGTACATAACAAAATGTTGTTACAATGATTTTTATCGTATTTTTCATTTATTTTATTGTTAACATGATTCGATCATGAACAATAATGAACAACTCTATTACAATAAAAATTGTTGTTACATTAAATATTGGTGTGTTTTCATTGTAGGTTACTTCACGAACAATAAAAATAAATCTGATTGAAGCATGCAGACTATGAGAGGGTCAGCAACACTGCCAATGTAATCAAGATAGGCGCTGCTCGCATGGCTCTGGCTTTGACAGTTCGTTTGGCTCAAAACCAGCCAGTCCGCGTCCGCTCATCTCTTATCCTAGACCCTCTCTAAAGCTGGGTTAAGATGGTTCAATTCAGCGTTCAACTCACTGAACGTCCAGAAATCGGACTTGCTCTATTCGTTGTCAAGTCAATTGAACGCCTACGACCAGATCGGTTTGAGTTGAATTCAACTCACCTGCCTCATCTAAATCCCGCTTAATGCAGACCTTTTCCGTGCAGTCAATAATCATACAATATAATAATAAAAAACTCCACCACTTGAAGATGTCAGGAATGAACTCTCAGGTGGAAGCATATTTCATGGGCGATTCTCTCCAGTAGAATGCATTTACTTATCAACGACGCTCAACCACCAAGGAGACGTGACCTAGAGAGATCGAGTGCAAGGGAGTTGGCCTCCATTTCTCACAAGTTCCGGATCGAATCTCATTCCATAACCAGTAAAAAAAGGACTCACCCGTAACAGACATACCACCCCCTTCCCTTCCCGGGGCGATGTTTTATTTTTTCGATTTATTTTTAAAGTCGATAAAGTAGATCTGTCAAGCCAACACATACACTCTAAAGTACACTGTTATTCTTTTTAATCAATAAATTCGCCAACCAACAGTAAAATAACAATAATATATAATGTTATTGAAAAAATATATATGGGAAAATCACGAAAATTTCATTTTTAAGATACTTAACAACCCCCCTTTTTTATTATAAATTTTCCATTTACCATGAAATTATCTGTTTTGTACAACATAAATCAAGGTAAATTTATTATAGACGTAACAATATAAATCATTGTTAAGACAATAATTTTCGTCTTATTGTTACATTTTTTTTTAATGTATTTTTGTTGTTATTTTTTTTTCGGGTTCACTCGATTAATCCTGCAACACTACCATGAGCGTCTACTTCATGCTGGACCTCAGCTGATGTTAAGCGTGATTCGACTTCGATTTTGGCCGTTGGGAGGCAGAAGCGTTGTCAAGAACATCGTTCATAAATGCCAGAAATGTTTTCGTTCGAGGCCGTCGACCATTCAACAATTCATGGGCGACTTGCCAGCTACACGAGTCACCGTGTCTCGCCCTTTCTCTTCCACTGGTGTTGATTATTTTGGTCCAGTTTATCTCCGACCCGTTCCTCGACGCGCCGCAATTAAAGCATATGTTGCGATCTTCATTTGCCTGTGCACTAAGGCGGTTCATTTGGAACTGGTATCAGATTTATCGACTGACCGGTTCCTTCAGGCGCTACGACGATTTGTGTCACGGAGAGGTCGATGCACGAATATTTACTCCGACAATGGCATCAATTTCGTCGGCGCACGCAATAAATTACAAGAACTCCTAAAACTGCTGAAGAGTCGCGATCATCATGACACTGTATCCAAGGAATGCGCCAGGGATGGTATACAGTGGCATTTTATTCCACCGAGCACACCTCACTTTGGAGGCTTGTGGGAGGCAGCTGTTCGCTCAACCAAATACCACTTGTTAAGAGTAGTAGGAGAAACACCAGTAACCCCAGAGGACTTCAGCACGCTGCTTACTCAGGTCGAAGCTTGCCTCAACTCTCGCCCTCTTACGCCTCTATCCGATGACCCCAACGACCTAGCGCCACTGACACCCGCGCATTTTCTGATCGGCTCATCCCTTCAGTCAATCCCCGAGCCTGACTTAACAGAGCTGCCGATCAACCGACTGGATTCTCTACAACTAACCCTGCAAGACTTTTGGAAGAGATGGCGCAGGGAATACCTCTGCAGCCAGCAGTTCAAATCGACGTAGGCAAGTTGGTAGTCATAAAGGACGACAACCAACCCCCCCATCCTGGTAGCGACGGTGTGGTCAGAGTTGTGACCCTTAAAACTGCAACAGGGTTTTTAACTAGACCGGTCGAAAAGCTTTGCATCCTGTCGCTTCCTGAAGAAGATGATAGTGCGAAGCCAAGTCAAACAGCCAGCCGATCATAACCTTTTTCCTTTCCACCATCCCATTCCGTCGAAGAGAATCTGCTTTCCATTTTCAGAAATTCTACGAATTTCAGGGTGGGTGAGGGTGTTGAAGAGTACAAAGAACCCGTCAAACTACAACCCTGTCAACATCACGCTACAATCGCCACACCAACTCAGATGGTCAGGGTAACAATATGATCGACTGTCTACTACCTACAAGCAACTAACCGAAACAATGTGATCACTACGCTCTCATCTTCTCCGCCACCACGGTCAAGATCGTCATCATCATCGTCATCATCATCATCATCACAGCTTTAATTCACACGGGAGTGATAAGGAAGGCCGGATAGTTGATGACAAGAGCGGCGGGAATTGCTCTGAGAGCCAACGACGAATAACATCGCATCGAGGCACCGAAGGTCTGTTGGACTGAAAGATACGGACCGACAACCAGTCCGCATCCACCTAGTCACCGAGACACACGGGCAGAAGACCCACGGCCGGTTTTAATTCGTTCCTTGTATTATATAATGTAGTAGTTTTAAGCCAAATAAATCCAGTAGTGATAAGTGAATAAATTAGTTTGCATGTTCCGTGATGTGTTATAAATAAATGGC